ATGCTGAATTTTGTCAAAAGCCTTTTCTGCATCTATTGAGATGACAGTATGGTTTTTGTCTTTATATGATTAATGATGTTTATTGACTTGCCTATATTGAACCATCCCTGCATCTCTGGGATAAAGTCTACTTGATTATGGTGAATGATTTTTTGATCTGTGTCTGTATGTGGCTTGCAAGTATTTTTTTGAGAATTTTTGCATCTCTGTTCATTAAGGATATGGGTCTATAGTTTTCTTTTTTGGTTGTATCTTTACCCGGTTTGGGTATTAGTGTGATGCTGGCTTCATAGAAGGAATTTGGGAGTTCTCCCTCTGTTTCTATCATTTTGAGTAATTTAAGTAGTATTGGTTGGAGGTCATCTTTAAATGTCTGGTATAATTCTGCTGTAATCCATCTGGGCATTGGCTTTATTAAGCTGGGAGGCTTCGTATTACTGTTTCAATTTCCTTATATGTTATGGGTCTGTTTAAACTGTTGATCTCTTCTTGGTTTAACTTTGGTGGTTCCCATGATTTTAGATATCCATCCATTTCTTTTAGATTTTCAAATTTAGTAGTGTATAGGTTTTTAAAATATATTTTTTATTTTGTGCCTTTTGAACCATACATCTTTTATAAAAATATTTCATTTATTATTTTTACTTTATGTATGAGTGTATTGTCTGCATGTAGGTAGGTGCACCCATATTGTGCAATGCCTGCTGAGGTCACAAGAGGGCGGTTGAATCCCTAGATCTGGAGTTATGAACCATTGTTAGCCATCATGTGGATGCTGGGAGTTGAACCTGGGTCCTCTGAAAGAGTAGCCAGTGCTCTTAACCAATGAGTCAGCTCTCCAGCCCCTCATAAAATACATCTTAATCATATGTAAACCCACTTTCCTATCTGCACATTGCCATAGTCCCCCCTGGACTTACATTGTTAAAGTTTAAGTAAAGGTATATCATCCGAAACCAGTCTTTTGCATTCTGACATGTTGTTTTCATGTCTTTGATATCCTCTCAGATCTTGATGAGAATATACTTTTAAAGTCTATTTCAGTTCTTAGGACTGAAACGGTTATACATGTATTTGATGATCCTTCAGAATGTTTATCCTATCAAAATTTCTTTTGATTTTGCATATATTTTCATTTTTATTTATATTTGTAGAAATGTTCTTTGAGATTTGGAATTTGAGTTGAATTTTCATTAGATTTTTGTCTTATTTCAAGACTAAGCATACTCTTCATATCTTCTGTAGTTCTATTTATCATTTCCCTACTGTTTCTTCTTACCTTTCTCCAGATAAGGAGAGCAATTATTTATCAAGTATTGGATTCATGCTCTAGTAAAAGGCAATTGTGAGGGCGAGAGAGAATATTGTTAATGTGTTGAAAGGTCTCTTGTCTACATTTGCTTGAGCTGTTTGAAATTATCTCAACTACAACTCTTCTCTAATTAAACAATGACTCCAATATGGTGGCTAATGCTGAAAGGAATGAAAGCCATATCTTGTAAACAATATTTAGAGAACACCACCCATTTTGTCTAGAGTAAGGAAGATTTATAGCAGCTATACTGTCCTTTCATCACAAGAAAGATTAGACTTCTGGGTTGGGGAAATGGCTCAGTTGGTAAAGTCTTTGTCAATCAAGCATGAAGGCCTGAATTGATTTTAAGCACCCACATAAAAAGCAGAGCACGATATAATATGTCTCAAAAACTAAAATAGAGGGCTGGAGAGTTGGCTCAGTTAAGAGCACTGTCTGCTCTTACAGAGGACCTGGGTTTGATTCCCAGCATCTACATGATAGTTGTAACTCCAGTTCCAGGGAAATCTGCTGTCCTATTCTGACCTCCGTGGCTATTGCATGACATGGGTGCACTTACATATGTGCAGGCAATACACTCATATAATAAAGTAAAAATAATAAATAAAATTTAAAAAAACTAAGGTAGATAGCACCTGAGGACACTGCCTCACTCAAAACAAAGGCAGCCAGTGGAATGTAGCTCACTTTGTTTTCTAAGCTATGTAGCCTGACTGTGGGGGGCTGCTATGTGCTGAGGCAAGATCACTTTGTGCTAATTCATACAAAGACATGATCTACTTGATAAGATGTGTATTTGAAGGACTGCATTCACCCAAAGAAGGCATCTTTCCATTTTTTCTAATTTGCACAAAGTTGCTGTATGAGGCAACATAAACCTTGATTCTTGGACTACAGGAAAAGATATCTTGCAATTTGTGAAAATAAGGAATGAGGGAAAGTCAATAGAAAAAAGAAAAAAAAAACCATGACTTATACTATAAATGTTTTAATGGCACTGTGGCTTCTTCTATCCCATAATTCTCTTCAAAATTGTGCTACCAGTATGTGCTCCCAATTAATGTATTCTAATAATTCTAGTTGGGAAAAGAAAGTAATAAATCAGTCTCTATTTTTGACCTAAAGGAACTCAGTCTCTGAGTAGTTTATAAGTTACTAATAAATGTATTAGAGATCAAGGAGAGAGACCATATGTCCACTCAAGACACTGACAGGGGAGGCATACCTTTTTGTCTAGTTTGTAAGATTGATTACCTGCCCAAAGTATAAGGACAGACAATTCCAGGATCCTTGAAGGCATGAGGGGTTATATTCCTGAAACAGTTTTCATATTTCTAGTAAAGTATCAGCTAGTGAGGACTGTCATTGATGCTTCAGACAGTCCAGATTTCTAGATTTGTCTGGAGATGGCTATTCAGATGGAAAATATTCAGATTCTTGTCTTCTTTGTATATTCTTTCAGGTAGCTTTTCAGATGTGTCACGAGTCCCTGTATTTGGCAGTGAAGCTGGTAGATCACTACCTAATGAAGGTATCATGCAGGAAGAATTACTTGCAACTCCTTGGTTCTACTGCCTTTATGATTGCAGCAAAATTTGAGGTGAGACTGAGTCTCTAAGGTCTGGAGAGAACTAATCAGGTATTCATCCTAAACAGAGAATAAATTTAGAGATGTATTTTAAAATCCATATATGTTTACAAATGTGTATGCATCTGCATATGTTTATGTGTGTACATTTAATTGTATATACATACATAAAATTTTCCTATCTATTATTTTTATCTATTTTTCTCAAATCTGGAAAGTTGATGTTGGTTAGCTCTGATGGTGAATTTCTTCTGGCTATTATGGACACAAGTGCTGAATTTAATAGGTAGTTATATTAAAAACTTCCTGCACAGGGGCTAGAAAGATGTCTCAGCAATTAGGAGCACTTGCTACTGTTGTAGAGGACTTGGGTTCAGTTCCCAGTACCCACATGATGGTTCACAACCATCTTATTACTCCAGTTCCAGGGAGTCCAACAGCCTCTTCTGGACTCCACTTTCATGCATGTGGTACATTTTCATACATGTAGGCAAAACACTCATACACATAAAGTAAAAATAAATAAATAAAAAGGGGGCTTGAGAGAGAGCTCAGTGGTTAAGAGTATGGACTGCTCTTTCAGAGGACCTGGATTCAGTTCCCAGCACCCACATAGTGACAAACAACCATCGGTATAACTCCACTTCTAGGGGATCCAATGCTATCTTCTGGCCTCCAGGGTATTAAACGCACATGAGGTGCCTACATATATGTGGAAAAACACTCATACACATAAAATAAAATAAATAAAAATTTTGAGCTTTATTTATTTAATTTTTGTGATTTTCATACAGTATAGTTTGGTGGTATTTAGATCCCCTCCCCTATGTACACCTTCCTCGATTGCAACCAACCCAATTTAATGCTCTCTCTCTCTCTCTCTCTCTCTCTCTCTCTCTCTCCCTCTCTA